GATGATATGTTGTTGTTGTTGTTGTTGAAAAGATGAATCAGGTTATGATGATAAAAATGATGAAGTTGACGATGTAGATGTTTGTTATGCATCACTGATATGATTGATTATATCGTGACAAAACAATTGATGGAAAGTGTCTTTTTATCATCATTATTGTAACGATGACAATGACAAACGAATGAACATTAAGCCATAAACATGCATGAACATAGCGTGGATGACGAACGGGTGAACATATATGAACATGTTTGCAAGTTTGCTTGTTTTTGTTCATCAATATTTTTGTGTTTTGAAAAAAAATTACAAGCCTCATATGTATTAGAATAAATATTTGTGTTGTTGTTGAGTTGAGTTTTATACCACTACTACTACAACTACTACTACTACAGCTGCCGGCCGCTACCACTGCTACTACTGCCGCTGCTACTACTTCTACTACCACATTTACTACTACTAGTAGCAGTAACAATTTTTTTCTAGTAACAACGAGACTTAACTGTCATACCATTAATAATATTGTTCCTTTAATCTACATCTGGTTATAAATCAGGACATATTAAACCATCGGCACACACACACATAAACAACACACACATACACACACATACATACATACATACACACACACAAAAACACACACACACACACACATATATATATATATATATATATATATATACAATATGGATATATGATATAAATTCATTGTATATAAATCTTCTGTCTATGCCATTTGTCCATACGGCATCATAGGAGACAAATAAACAATTAGTTTCATGATAGACATACAGAATAGATACTGGTTATTTAATTCTAACATTTGATTGTATGATATACTGGCAAATAGATAGATGAATGGAAGAGATAAAAAGGAAGAAAACGGATGAATGAATGAAAATTTAAATGAAAGAATGAACAAACAAAGGAGTAAACCAAATAAATGAACAAACAAACAGACAAACAAATAAACAAACAAACGAACGAAAGAAGGAACAAGACATTTATTCATCCATGCTGTTGAATACAGTGTGCGTGTATGCATCTTTAGTGAAAGTCGTCTTGCCATTCTATCACATCATACAAATGCTTTTTTTCTCAAGTTTCGAGTTTCAGCTAGCCAACTCCTTCTTCAGACGTTAATCATTCTATTAGTTAAATCAGAAATTAATTTATCAATTATTAAATTAGAATTTAAAATATTAATATTTTAGGTTGCGTTAGTAAAGTGATTTATTGTTTTTATACATTTTTATTTTAAACAAGTCATCACTACATCAATCGATCAATAATCAACTAACCAATCAATCAATCAATCAATCAACCAATCAGTCAATCATATACATTCATACATACATACATACATACATACATACATACATACATACATACATACATACATACATACATACATACATACATACATACATACATACATACATACATATATTGCGTTTATTTGGCAATCTAATACATAAACGTTGTCAAGTTAAATGATTGAAAAATTCTCGCAAAAAATTCATCAATACTTCATGCTACTCACATATATACATGCACTGATACACTGCATGTATATATGACATCATTCTATCGAATGTTTTAGCTGTATTTTTGCTTCAAAAACAATTTTTGGAAAATTAATTTTTTTTAATTTTAAACATTAAACACAGAGAAAGTTGCACTCTACTTTATACACATTACTCTACTGGGTTTATATCAATACGTATTTGAATTTACGATCTAATGAATGCTTACGAGATGTTATTACTGTGGAAATAAGCTTACTGATGTTAATACAAACCACGTCATCAACAACAACAACAACAACACTAACACAACAAGAAGAACATATATACATAACTAATTGTTGTCACTTGCGTAAAAGTTGTTTTACATGTAATAATTTAATTTGAAAAGTACGACACATCAATTTATCTGCAAATTGAAGCGAGGCCAGAAAAGTTATTTCTCCTACTACTGAATAAAGTTAGCATTGATTATTATTTTAATTATTATACTTCTGTATTTAAAGACGTAAATATTATTATTAGTAGTGGTAGAAACAGTTAAGCTGTAGTAATAGTAGTAGATGCTGTAGTAAAAGTAACAGCAGTAGTAGCGACTGCAGCCGTAGTAGTAGTAGTATTCGTCGTCGTAGCAGTTAGTAGTAGTAATAGTAGTGAAAATAGTTAGTAGTATCTGTGATTAATTTGGCTCAAATAATTTTTTTTCTTCTACCAATTCCTACATTTTACTAAATTTAACTTTTATCAACAAACATTGCAAAATTTTGACAAAAAATTTTTTGTTTGCCAACCCATGATAAAAAGGTCAAAAAGGTTATTCGTCTTGTGTGTTACATATAACTTTTTTTAAGTTTCAACGAAACTACACAGGACTGGTTTGTAACCACAACTATGAAACTTTTTATTAAGATTTAAAACTGAAAATTGTTTTTGACATCTGCTGTAGTCTCAATTTTGTAATGTCTCAAATTTCAGAAAAAAATGCTCTGTTGACTATGTTGTCTCCAAGATTCTACAAATTTTTCATATAGAAGCCATTAGTGCAGACTACCAGACTATCCATCCCATCATATGGGTCATATTTTCATTTTATTTAAATCGAAATTAAATAGAAAAAAAAATTTTTCAAAAATAGACAATCAAATCACCATTTATTCTATCATTTCGCATCAAAAAGAGCCTTCCATTTTGTTGTAATCTCTCAATTTTGAGATGTTTATCCGGCATTAATGACATACTGGATGAAACACACCACCACCACAGCGGCAGAATGGATGAATGATGATTGCTAATTAGCACTCCATGAAATTAACGTAAACCAAATCCTATTTCAAAAATAAATAACTAAAATAATTACCCAAAATTGTTTTAATAACAACAACAACAACACTAGCGTTAACAATAAATAATAATAATAATAAGATTAAAATAGTAATAATAGTCTTGCCGTTCTAAGATAATTACTCTTCTATGCAGCTAACACGTAACGACTTAATGGTAGACATTATATTATTTATTATGCTATATTATTTAGTCTCATGATTACTATTATTTATTATTAATATTATTATTATTATTATTATTCTTTTTATTATTATTATTATTATTAATGTTATGGAAACTTCTTCTTTCATTGAACTTCCAAATCTATAATAATAATAATAATAACAACAACAACAACTACTACTACAACAGTCCTCATAATCATCGTTATTACAATTTTATCAGCCCAGCTAGTCGGCAATAATCATCTCTGGAGAGGAAATTTTTTATATTTTTTTGGTAAACATCATCGTCGTCGTCGTCCAAAAAATTTATCCACAACAACAACAACAACAACAACAACAACAAAGACATCGTTATCATCAACATCATCAGCAACGATAAAGACAACAACTTCGTCATCTGCATAATCAAAAATTACGCCATCGTCAACTTTAACAACAAGGAAACAACAACTTCTTCATCATCAACAACAACATCAACATCATCGTCATCATCTACAACAACAACAATATCAACAACAACATCAACATCAACATCATCAACAACAACAACATCAACAACAACATCAACAACAGCAACAAAAGCATCAACAACAACAACAGCAACAAAAACTTTGAGAGAAACTTCAAAGTACCGCCATGGGAAACGCGGCAACTGCTAAGAAAGGAGATCCTGAAAATGGTGAGAGAGTGCGTGAGAGAGTGAGTAAATGAGTGAGTGAGTGGGTGGATGAACGAAGGCATGAACGAACGAACAAACAAATGAACGAATAAATTAATGAATGAATTAATGAATGAATGCATGCATGAACAACTGGTTGAACAGATAAATTAAAAATTTTAAATAAAGGTCTAACTTGCTTGTTGATAACCATATTACTTCAAATAGTTCAGAGCCACAATCTAGTAGTAGAAGTAGTAGTAGTAGTAGAAGTAGTAGTAGTAGTAGTGGTAGTAGTAGTAGCAGCAGTAGCAGCAGTGGCGACATTAGTAGAGGTAGTGTTAAAAAAAGTTGTTATCTATAGTACAATTTGTTCAAACTATAAACAGGCCTGGTTAATTGAGAGGAAGAAACCGATAACGATTGCATGTACAGAAGAGTGAGTGAGTGAATGAGTGAATGAGTGAGTGAATGAGTGAGTGAATGAGTGAGTGAATGAGTGAGAGAGTGAGTGAATGAGTGAGTGAGTGAGTGAATGAGTGAGTGAGTGAATGAGTGAGTGAATGAGTGAGTGAGTGAATAATTGAATGAGTAAAATATGTACAGTTAAAAATCCCACAAGTCAGTACTACAATAGTTTTGCACATATGTTTTTGCGTATGTTTAAGTATATTACATAAATGTATGTATGTATGTATGTATGTACGAATGTATGTATGTATGTATGTATGTAGGTATGTATGTATGTATGTATGTATGTATGTATGTATGTATGTATGTATGTATGTATGTATGTATGTATGTATGTATGTATGTATGTATGTATGTATGTATGTATGTATGTATGTATGTATGTATGTATGTATGTATGTATGTATGTATGTATGTTAAAACCAAAACATGATGAGTGACACTGAACCGTCAAACATCAAGTAACAAATGGATTAACACTTTGATTTGTCGTTAATTGCACATGTCGGCATTCAGTTGTATATTTTCAAGCACACAGACACGCAGGAACCGCTGCAACAAGCACGAAATGTGGTTGGTTGCAAAAAACAGTTCCCTGCTGTCACCTGATCTGACACTGATCATTTTGCCTATTTCCTTAAGAAATTTAAGGGTGTTGGGGTCCATCGGGCCGAGAACCTCGATAACCTCGGGCCGAGAACCTCGATTTTGTATGTATGTATGTATGTTTGTATGTATGTGTGTGTATATATATGTATGTTAAAACCAAAACATGATGAGTGACATATTTATGTATGTATGTATGTGTGTGTGTATGTATGTATGTTTGTATGTATGTGTGTGTATATATATGTATGTTAAAACCAAAACATGATGAGTGACATATGTATGTATGTATGTGTGTGTGTATGTATGTATGAATGTATGTATGTGTGTGTATATAAGTGTATATGTGTGTATGTATTCACAACACTTGTGTACAACATATGTTTGTACAACATCTTTGTTTACGTATGTTAGACCGCATAGCTCCAATCAATATCTTTCTGCCTTAGATTGTCGCTTGAAGGCTTACGTATAACAATGTGTGTGTGTATGCGTGTGTGTTGTGTGTGTGGTGTGTGTGTATGTATGTGTGTGTATGTGTGTGTGTTTATGAAATGAAACTTAATTCAATTGTAATAAATGTAAAATAAGAGTGTCTCTTCTTTTCTTCTGTTTCAATTTCTTAAAAGTGTTTTCGTCAATTTGATATATTGATTATTCCGTGTGTTTGTGAGACGATTAAAGTAATTATACCGATCATGATGACGATGACGATGATGACGAAGACGATGATGATGATGACAATGATAATGAACATATTTATTATTACTATTATTATTATTACTATTATTATTATTATTACTACTAGTATAATTATTATCATTATTCCTTTCCCAGCCTTGTTTATGACGTACGGCTTACATAAAATTTTCCTGCTGTCACGATAATGATAGTCGTAATCATCATCATCGTCACCATCATCATTATAATCATAACCGTCATCTTCTTTTTCATCTTCTGCTTCTTTTTCTTCTTCATCTTGTGCTTTTTCTTCTTCTTCATCATCATCATCATCATGTCA